GAAGGCTTAAAAGACAATCAAAGATTTAGAAACTGTCCCAAAAAGATTCAGATGCTAAAAATAAATATGATTTCAAAATTAAAAATATTATTATGGATTACTTGTAATTGCATGCCAGTATAAATAGTTATAAATAATTATTTGCCAATTTTATCATTGTGATATTTTTGCATTATATCAAGTATTAAGAATATAGTCATTAGGGTCTGCAAAATTGGAGGAGAGAGTTATCAATGATAATTTTCTGACTTTGAATATGCGGTCACCTCCATTTAACCTTTTTTTTCTTTTTTAAATATACTTTTTATCATATAAAATTTGATGAGGCACAAGCAAATTTTCATTCTGAAAATGAAGCCCAGTGAAAAAAGTTTGGGAAGCACTGGTCTAAAATGTAGTGATAAAAATAATGAAGATGAAGATACACATCCATATATTTAATGGTACATGACTGTAACTTAGAATTCATATGAGAAGAATTGACTGAAATGTAGTGCAAAAAACAACAAGAATAAGGATAATTTCCCAAATAAGTCATGACACATTGTCAAATGTAAAACCAGTTCTCTTTGATTCTTAACTAAGATGAATCATTCATAAAAAAAATATGTAAGAAAAAATTTTTACAGAGTTGAAAGATTAAAAAACCCAAATAAGCAAAATATATGTGAAGACTTTATTTCCATGGCAACTGTTGTCAATACCAACAGCCTATAAAGCACATCTACTAAAAATTGATTATCCATTGTTGTGTAGTAAAAAAAAAAGATTTATTATTATGTAATCATGATGTATAAAAGTAAGATTTAATATTAAATGTCGTCTAACATATGACACATTTAATGTCTTCCAAAATGAAAAAGATTGAAATACTAAAATCTGTGATGTGCTTTTTATCATTATTAATAACCAAGAAGGGAGTGCCTGTCAGAAAAGTCATTTTTTGTCAAGCAAAAATTATCAGCCATAATAATTGGAGGGAAACCCGTGTACATACATATGTGCATGTGTATGTTCACACATGCACAGAAAAGATAGTGTGAATTGATGTCTCAGCAGCAAAACAGCTGCATTCATGGAAACGTCAAAGAGAATTTCAATAAAAAGCAAATTAATATAAGAATCAGAAAGGGAGATAAATCTGTTGAGGTTTTTATTAAAATCTAATTTAGCCAATATTACTTGCTTGAGTTCAAATAAAAGTTATCCTCAAAGAAATCTCATCAGTTTTGGGCAATCGAATAAATTCTTGAATGAAATTATGATACATGAATTTCATCTTTCAGAGACTTATCACTTAATCTGGCTAGAATTATCAGTTTTTATATATATGTATGTATATATATATATATAGATCATATGCAAATTTAGATAGAAATCATTCCAATACCTTATAGAGGAACAAACACACACAAACCAACATTAATTCTTTCTTATATAGTAGATAATATGTCTAGTAAAATACCTTGGTATATGGCATTACTGAGACTGGTTGACAGAATTTAGTTGAAGAAATCAAAGAAAATTCAGCAATTCTTGGTTGTTAGGTTATTTCTTGAAATGGTAATTTTGGAAGAGAAGTAGAACTTGTTAAAGTTTTGATCTGAAATTCTTTTCAAATTTCAACAACTATTTTATATTCAGCACAGTCATTTTTTTAGATGAATGCAAATTTGTAAGAATTTCTGTTCTCATTATAAAAATTGAATGATTGGTGAAATCATCAATTGTCAAACTTCTCTCACCTGCTGCCTGTCTTGAAAAACAAAAATAAAAAACTTTGTCTATGTAACAATTTTAAGACTTCAAAAATAAAAGTAGCTCTGAAAGATATTTTTGTAAGGAATTAATATTTAATCAAGAAATAATCATTGTGAAAGATTTGGTTAAATACTTTGATGTTTATCATCATCATTATTATTATTATCATTATTAACAACAACAACAACAATGTGAAAATGATAGAAACCAGACTCAAAATGTTAGTCTTTTTGTGTTCATCTCTGGTTTTCCACACATTGAGAGCACCCTCTTTGACTGAGAAAAAACTAGTGTCATATAGCTCTCCCAGTTCCAGGCCCATGCTGATTATTGGCTAATACCTGTCTGGTATTATTCATATGCAAATAGTCAGCACCAACTACTCTAAGTAGAAGGTCTTCTCTCAACATCCCATTGTGGAAGAGGACGTAACTCCCGATGCTTACAGCACCACATGCAACCAACTCTGAGTCTCTTATCGGGTTGACCCAATTCTCTGTTATACTTTTTTTATACTAAAGTTCACCCAGTACAATGCTGAAGAGCCACTCACGCTAGAAGGTTACTGAATTATTTGTTTGTTAGGAAGTAAAGATGACGAGAAAAGATGAAAGCCCTTGACTGTTGACTTGAGGAAAAGATTGCAGTTTTCAGTTAAGTGTTTGCACAAGAGTCTATTGCACAAAGTCGTAGTTCTTGACAGAAAACCTGAGTGAAACTTTCTCTTTGCAATTCGAATATAAAGGAAGATTATTAAAATATATGTGGTGATTTGTAGAATTAGCATGGTATACCCCATCTGTGTAAATCTGAACTGGTGGAACTAAAGACTGGAACTCCTTTGAACATTTGCCAGGAAAATGGCAGTAGAGTAGAAAAAGGCTGCAGAGTGAACAATAAGTTCTTCCTGATGAAACCTCATAAATGATTTTGAACTCTGAATCAAAAGTATTTTCATTATTTTACAGAACGTTGCTCCAAAGTTTATTTCATGTACAAATCTAAAGACTACAACTTCACATCATCACCATCACCCAAGACCAACTATATATGTATTCTCTTTGTAGTGATACTTAATACGTACAGTTTATATTTTCTTTACATTGATAACATTAACCTGGAGGGATTAGCAGTTCCACAGTACAAATATTTGAATCTCTTGAAAACATTGGCTGACAAGGATGTTGATAATATTCTTATCTGTACCTCTTTCTTATCTGCCCTTGGTTCTAATCGTGATTGGTATAAAAATAATTTTCAGGTACAACATTTTTTTAAATTTCAATTTCCTTATATTTATTTTGTCATTTTCTTTTCAGATATATTCTTCTCTAATGGAACTGCTATATCTACGAGAAAACATTTTTTTGGTTGTAGATTTGTTGTAGCCTACAAAAGGAGGTTGGCAATGAAAATGGTAATATTTATAACATCAACAAAATACAATACTCACCACTGGCATGGAGTAGGTAAACCACTGCTAGTGGTGGACTACTAAAATGCCACATTACCCCCCCTCTTTTACAATAGTTTCCAACAATTTGATGAGGATTGGGATATACCCATTAGTGTTCATAGGTATGGTATATAACAAGTTTTAATTACCTTGATTGTTTCATTATCTTTTATATATGTCAGTATGAATGGTAAAGCCCAAAAGAATAGTAACCTTATGACCTTCTATAATTGTTTCAGGGTAATATCCATATCATTTTTGATATTCAGTACCAACATATCATCCAGTGAATATATTTGCCCAATCTGATGTTGATCTTTGTATTTCTTTACTGTCAGGATTGGACAAGCAGACACTGAGTAGGTAATAACCTCAGCATATTCATGTAATCTATATATTGAGCCTGCACCATTCTTGATAATGTTTGCCTGGTAATTCCTGGTAAATAGACTTTGGTCCTGTGCAGCCATTATAAATGCTTCTGTTTCTGCTTTTAGCCCTACACTATTCAGCCAATGATGGTTTTTGTATATTATTATTATTTTTCTTCTTATTATTATTATTATTATTTGTTAATACTCACCATAAATAATATATGAAAACATCAAACTTTATTCATTACAGAAAAAAATAAGAAATGACGATGACACTATGTTAAACAACAAATGAAAAAAATTCTATATTCCATGGAAAATAGGATGTAAGAATGCAAAATCTTTTACAAACTTATATGGACAGAAATGTTTCTTTTCCAGACACGTGTGTGAGTATAAAGTTTGATATGTATGTTTGTAAATGAAAGTTCTTTGATAATATGTATATATGTAAGTCAGAAGGAAAAGAAATGCATTAATACTTGTTTAAGCTTACAACTGAAAATTGATCGCTACACAAGACTGAAGTAGAAAACAGCTGTTTTTCATCTGACTGTCAAAAGTCCACCGAAGGAAATCTTGCTGTCGGCTTTCTTTTATCTCCCTCAGGTGGATCAGAACATGACTTTTTGTTTTAGACTGGAATGCGTGTGAATAGTTAGAAGTATTAAAATTGAATCATGACTTTTTTTTTTTTTTGCATTGTAAAATAATATTTATCTGCAGAATCGCCTGCATTGTTATTGTCATTTATGAATTAACTGTCAGGGTGTGTGTGCATCTGCCTCAAACTCTTTATATTGTCACTACATTATATATATATATATATATATATATATATATATATATTATTAGACTGTTGTACATTTTGATTCAGATATTATAATGGCAGATACAAATATTAATGTGATTCTGGTAAATTTCAGGTATTAACTGCTAGATGAATTTGGACAAAATGAAAGAAAAAAATCTGATCATGCTGCTCAAAAATAGTTTTGACAGTTTTAATTGTGCGAGATTTCTTCCTTGTAATGTTGAGATTATCTATTTCCTTCTAAGGAAACATTCAGCATTCATTGACAGAATAATTACCATTATTGTAACTTTCTCTTTAAACAAACTTTCATACTGGTAATAAGTTCAACAGATTTATCCAAAATCTGGCCCTGATGAGCATTTCGATGTTAAAATTTTGAGTCAGCTAACCCAACTAACTTTTCCTAATTTATTGAATAAACCATTTTTCAAGCAAACAGTTTTTTCAAGTTCACTGTTATCACTTTTGTGTTAATGCTTTTGTCATGTGTAAAGTCAACAGCTTGATTATATCATTATTTTCTCTTCGAGTTACATGTGCTCTCCATTTTCTCTTCCAGTTACATGTGCTCTTCATTTTCTCTTCCAGTTACATGTGCTCTCCATTTTCTCTTCCAGTTACATGTGCTCTCCTTTTTCTCTTCCAGTTACATGTGCTCTCCTTTTTCTCTTCCAGTTACATGTGCTCTCCATTTTCTCTTCCAGTTACATGTGCTCTCCTTTTTCTTCCAGTTACATGTGCTCTCCTTTTCTTCTTCCAGTTACATGTGCTCTCCATTTTCTCTTCCAGTTACATGTGCTCTCCATTTTCTCTTCCAGTTACATGTGCTCTCCTTTTCTCTTCCAGTTACATGTGCTCTCCTTTTTCTCTTCCAGTTACATGTGCTCTCCATTTTCTCTTCCAGTTACATGTGCTCTTCATTTTCTCTTCCAGTTACATGTGCTCTTCATTTTCTCTTCCAGTTACATGTGCTCTCCATTTTCTCTTCCAGTTACATGTGCTCTCCATTTTCTTCCAGTTACATGTGCTCTCCTTTTCTCTTCCAGTTACATGTGCTCTCCATTTTCTCTTCCAGTTACATGTGCTCTCCATTTTCTCTTCCAGTTACATGTGCTCTTCATTTTCTCTTCCAGTTACATGTGCTCTTCATTTTCTCTTCCAGTTACATGTGCTCTTCATTTTCTCTTCCAGTTACATGTGCTCTTCATTTTAGTTGTTGGTGCTGCTGAAAGTTTTCATGTGATGCCAGTTCTGTTATTTGATACACAAATATTTCTTTGTGATTCTATAGTGCTAGTCTATGAAATCTGTTGAAGGATAGTCCACTTTATGATTCATAGGGTTCATTCACTTGAATCATTTTTTAATCATTGACCTGAAAAAAATGTTTGTAGACAGCTGACAATTTAGACATTTCTGAATGAGTTGGATGTTACGCATGACAGCTATATGAGTGTCTTTTGCTCTGACGAGGCTATTTAATAACATAACTTGAGTTGTGGGCTTAATGTCTTGGTTTTGTATTATCTTGTGGTGTTGGGTGAAACTACCTCAAGTACAGCCTATTCTATGCTCAATTCCTTAACCAAGATACTAAATTTGTTATAACTAATCCATACGCCAAAGTTTTGAACTGTTTACTATTTATGAATTCCAAATTCATGATTTTTATGATGGATTTGAGGCAGGAGTTATCATTGCTTTTAATCCATTTCTGGATCATAATTTCTGTCTTGGAAAACTTCATCTTAAGTCCTCCTTCTTAGAATACAGTAAAGAATGTTAATTTTTTTTTGTTTAAGATTATTCTTCTACCAACTATGAATAACCCCCACCCAACCACCACCACTACTATCATCTATCATTATACTTGCGTTGGGAGGAAAATCATTTCCTATTAGTGGATTCATTAGGGATGTGGTATGAGTTGTTTAAATGATCATAGTCTGTTTCTTCACATCTATGCCATGCAGAGTGTGATCTAGAAAATATTAACTAGAGTGGGGATCTCATTTCCTCTTTGTTGTACTCTTGATGACATTTGAAAACCCAGAATGACCATTAGTTGTTGATTATTAAATATTAACCTTTAACCCTCTGCATTATTAATATTACTTCCCTTTCCACTGCATTCTTTTTCAAGACCTTTCAAAACCTTATTGTTAACTTCACTCAAAGTTTTTTTCTGTTGCCATAGAAGAATATGACAACACAACTATTAAATTCAAATACATTATTGTTCAGGGATCAGTCACCTTCAGTGGCAGGTTAAAGTAAAAAAGTAAAGGAAAAACTAACGACCAACATTCTGAAACTTTCAGATACTATTATATGTAGAGCACTTGCCTGGTCAAAAATACACTACCTCCCCGTGCAGAGAGGTAAACCACCAGCCAAAAAAGAACCACCTGTCCTGTTTACTGTACCTGTGTCTACTTTTAGTCTCTCATGCAAACCTAATGACATAATTCATTATTATTACTGGAAAAAGTTGATATGTCATAAAACAATAGATGCCATACTCTATGTGGAACATTATGGAGCTTCAAAAATGCCCAGAAGATCTCAAGAGGTTCCCATGATTAAAAACCAAAAATATGTTTGATGCACCCAAGATTTTGTGCCTTCTAATTAGGTTCTTCTTATTTAAGTTTGCATGCCAGAAATAATTGGTAGCTTCCAATGAAGATCAAGTGATAGCAAGCCTTTTCAATACTTTGGTACTTTCCTTAATATTCTACTTGATTTTAGTGATGCTGTCATTTGCACACTTTTCAATTCTTCCTCAGATTTTCAATGCTTCTAACCACTTTACAAAGATCTTTCTCTTAACTATGCCTGATGAGTTCATGGTGTCTAACTTTGTGACCAATTCAGTCCTTTGATATTTGCTCATGTTGATATCACAGTGTTTCCACATATCTAATCTCTTGCATTCTTGAGGTGAATGACATGCAAAGGAAACATCTCTCTTTTTGACAAAACAAAATGACAACAGAAAAGGATGAGATTTCAGCATGGTTGTGGATTTATTTGTTTTTTGTTTAGCAGGGAAGAAGTTGAAGAACTCTCTTTTATATAAATTACAAATATCAGAGTTATATTGGTCAGGTTGAATGGTATCATTCATTTGTCACTTGTGGCTGAAATAAACCAATCCACTTTGTATCTTAGTGACCATGAAAAAAGAAAAAAGAGACTTTTCCTTTCTTTATAGATTATTTATCTGATGAAGGTAGGAGAATGTCCACATCAAAATCTTAACAGAATCAACAAAAGCAGAAGAGGAACAAATTCAATTGTCAAAACAAAAAAAAACATGTAGCAATGGATACAACTCTGACTTGCATTTACAGCAATTTTATTTTTTCCCGTTCTCTAAGAAGGTTGAGATATTTTCTTAGCTTTTTACTCTTTCAAGATTGCATCATTTTCCTGAACTGTCTAAAAATATCCGAATATTGACAAGGACTCATCTTGGTGGATCTAGGGCCAGAATATTGGAATGCTTAGCAAGAGAAAAAGAGAAAATAAATTTTGTCTTGTAACTGTTTTTGCCTTCTCATTATTATCGCAATTATTAGCATTACTTTTGATGATTTCTGTTCTGTTTTCATCTGATGATGTTTTGTTTTTAAGGCTTTTGTTTTTTTCCTGTTTCTACCAGAAATCAATGTTCTTTATAGAAATTTCTGCACATTGATTGCAAATGAAATCAATATTATCATCTAGACATTCAGATAACATTAACAGAAGAAATACACAACTGTTGATATCATTAAATATTATTGAAAATGCTGACATCAGTCATTGTCATTAATCTGCATGATAGTCTGACTAATATCTTCATCCTTGTATTTTTTTAAAATCTGCATGCTTTGACCAATATGTTCTTTGGTGGTTACTGAATAGTTTGTTGCTAACAAGTTTTTTTAATCATTTCACCCTAAGCAAAACAATAAAAGCCAATAAGATGCAAGGGGTTTCTTAAAGTGCAAGAAACAGAATATGAAGATTGACATTGCATTTAAGTTTTTGAAGATCATAGTTGACAAGGAAGCCGAAAGAGAGTTCCACAAGTGAGAAGTGCAAGAAAAGAAACTATTAACATAGAACAATTTCAACAATGAAATTATAAGATATAACTGTTATTCAAGTACTGTATTTACCTTCTAAAGTTGAGCTAAAGCCAGAAGTGTGAGAGAAGAAACTATTAGCATAGAACTTACGGTTCTATCTGGCAGTTTCAACAGTTAAATAATGATACTTTGTCACCAATTTAATAGTGAATTTAAATTCATAAAGAGGAAAGCTCATGAGAATTACTATAAAAGTATTTATAGAAAAAGCAAAGGGAATTTAGGTTATTGCAATGGGGAAGTGACTGAAGCCAAGATGCCAGGTCAGGACTGATAACATTGCAGATCCTTCTTTTGAATCTTTAAATACATAGCAAAAGCACCAGGTCAGATGTAGTAGGAATAATCAATGCATGAATGAATGGTAGACTTATAAAATGTGCAATATTGATTCTGGTAAGAAAAATTGTCTAGAACAACACAGCAAACCAATTTTCCTCAAAGCAGACTTAGTGATTGATTTTACTCAATACACTTCATGTCAGTGGAAAACATGAGACCAAGAAGGTGTATTGAGTTGCTATCCTGGAGGCTAGCATCAGCCATGCTGCCAGAATGATTCTTTAATTAATTGAGTTCAGTTTCATTTTGGAGGCTTTAAAGTAAGCAACTTCTTGCCACCAGTTAACAACAAATTGAAATGCATTTTTGGGATCAGCTGCCAGTTTGACCATATCGAACTGATCAGACTTGCTATTAAGGCAGGAGTAAATATTTGTGATATCAGCATAGATACCGAGTCAAGAACTGATGACGTTGTGAAAGTCATTGATAAAAATAAGGTAGAAAGTAGGTCCAAGAATAAAACCTGGGGATATGAGCACGAAAAGAAATACAGAATTTAGATTCATCACTGAGAATGTCCTGGTTCTATTGATTAACAGACCAACTTTGACAAATCTCTAGCCCATTAAATGCTTTGACTTTTGTTTAGATGTTAGTAGTAGCTTTGAAATCATATCCTGCTGTCATATCCGAGATGGTGGTGGTTTCTGGAGTCGTGTGGTGAACAAGCAGCTACATCAACGTCATTCCAGTGTTTGGAAATTCCACCACAATTGACAAATTGATTGGAAATAAGTCTCTCCTATTCAGCTGATATTTATCTCTAGTTCTTATCTTGACTTTGGAACTGTAGGTGGACTGTTTCAAACAAAAGTTCATCTTTGTTATCTGAGAGAGATTAACAGATAGAGATTATCTCATCTCAACAGCTAACACCTGAATTTTTTCTAGCTCTTCTCACGTGTGAATGATGGCTTTTTCTGCTTCTGATCTATTTTTAACTCTTAGTATTTATGGTACTAGGCAACAATCTGTTGAACACTGAAGATTTCACTTTTTTTTTTATACCAATTCTTTGACACTAAGAATATTTATAAAACAACCTCAAATGTAAATGATTAAATAAATTTCAATTTTCAGGGGGAAATGCCAGATTATTTATATTTATTGAAACTATCCAATTTTAAACAAATTTCAGTGAAAAATATGAAAAACATGGAATATTTCATTTTTCTGAATTCTTGTAGTTGTATAGTTTAGTATGTGCTCAAAGTAAAACTCCTGTTTAGAATAGGAAACAAAGCCCCCCCCCTCTCATAGAAATGAACACAGCACAATCTGATTCTGTTTCATCTGTTTTCTACAATATGAGATGAAATTAAGTTTATCAATAACTCCATAGCTTGAGATATAGTTATTAACTGAATTTTGATCTGAAATTTTCACTGATCTATTTGATTAATATTCATCACTGAATCAAGTGCATTGACAAAAGATTAAAAATGAATATCCTTTGTATAAAATAAATGTTTTTTTATCACTAGGTTACAGACTTAATGATGTACATTATTTATACTTGAATAATGAATAAACATATTTTTAATTGTATTTTTAAATGAAATTTTGAAAAATCAACCAGTTTTACATTGATATTATTATGTTTGAAAACAAATATTTAAAGAAATTTCCAGGCATGACATGTCAAACCAAAGAAATAGTTACTACTACTTGTCACTAAAAATAATTTTTTTTACATTCCTTTCTAAATAAAATTATTTCCTAAGAAAAC